ACCACTGCAGCCTATCTAGCATGAAGAGTAACTTATTTTTAACAATGCACTTGGACGGCAGACAACATCTTACCTCTGTGGACACAATGAAATTATAGGCTCACCTGCCCGCCGAACTGATTGCAGGGAAATGCAGCTACCCGAAGACCTTCATTGTAGTACTTGTCTTGAAGTTGCTTCAACTCTGTGTAGTGACCATGGGTGTAACCACATTTTGAAGCGACGTTCACTACGATGACGACCTGACCTCTGGAATAGCACCTAACTAGTCACAAAAGTCATCCAAATCTGCAGCTGCAGTTCTTGGAGAAACCAACAACGAAGTAAGAAGAACGAGATATTCTGAAGCAGAACGCACTTGTATTTACTCAACGAGACGTCCTTCCCATCTGCATCTTTGACAGTAAACTCGTATATTGTTTTATGTTCTGCCATAGCTTCGTCCTCGTGAGAGCTGAAAATGTAGATTAGTTCATTTTGATGTAAACTTCGACTGAACTAAACTCAGTCTTAGTAACTAATCCCTAGTGAGAATATCTATCTGAAGCAATCGGCGTTGCTTCTTTCTGGACGCAATGAGAAAAGCCACAAGGTGACGGGCATACTCGCGCGCATCAATTGTAATGGATATCTGTACTGACCCGTTTATCTGTGGCTAACCTTTGTCCCAATTTCTTCTTGAAATACTACATACCTGCTCCTCCCCAGCTCTCTTTATTAATGATCAGTTAACATTGTCTATGCTTATACTCTAAAGAAACATCGTTGACACGAAACAAAGAATTGCGGTCTGGAACGACCCGGTGGTAACTGAAAATGAGAATGAAATGACTCTACCTTCTAACGTTCACGGCAATAGCAGGTCAATGCCCATATATTTGTTTGTTATGGGCTCTTATCACTTCTCATTAGCAAACAACACTGATTAAAAACATCTGACTTATGTGGAAGACTTCAATGTGAGTCGGTCGAATCCTCTCCCCCTATGATAACTCAGAAGGAAGTTGTTCATTCGCATGTCTACTGCTCTGGTTTCTCAATATGACTACAGTCGATCACCCGGCTGATGCGGGTGCTCCTGCTTCCTGTTTCATTGCGGCACGGCTTCCGTTGGGCCCGACCTGCCTTGTCATGAAGCACGTCTTGCAGAATGCACCAAATGTGCCAAAAGCTGGAAGTTATTTTTTTTAAATAGGAAAGTGGGTTGAAAAAAGCTCAACTTTAGTCATTATCTACCAAACTGGTCCTCCTGCTTACTGCAGACTTTCAACCGCGAGAAGGCTGCACCATACCATTAAAGATCGCAGTTGCAACCTCAGTATGGGTGAGGTTGAATTAGTCCGCATGAGTCCATGACACCCGGAGGCATGACTACAGAGCCATAAGTGGCACTAAACACTCCTTCCCTTCCTTCCGCAAAATTTTTAGGAAAGTAAGAAAATTTTCGGGAAATTTCGGCCGCCCCCACCCAGAAGCTGGTAGTGAAGTTGGGGAAAATCTTAAGAAAATGGTAGAAAGAGGTGGTGTATGTCCTCGCGCTGTCCCCGTTTACAACATTGCTGTTATAACAATCCCTTCGGCAGCTCGATAAGGAAGGAACCAGGGAGGGGGTTGGCCCAACCCCCTAAAAAAAGGAGAGGGAACGGGGTGACGCAAACTCCACCGAAATCATCCTCAACCAATGATGTGCCGCTGGAAAAGACTGACAATGAATGTTGTGAGTGTTCTTCTGAAACGCTGATCAGTTGTTGTCACTCCCTGTCCACCGTCCCGATCGATTGCATAATCTTCCGCACCTGCTATGCCATTTTCCAAAAAACGTCCGGTCGTTGCGACACGTACTATGCCTTTTGTAACCTCTGTCTTCTATGAATAAACCCCCTTTTCAGCTCTCCATCAACTGTTATCTTTTCCTATCACTAACTTTGCCGTCCCGCTCCCCAAATCACTTACAAGCTTGAACTCTCGGCGATTAAATGAAATGAAGTTATGAATTTCCGGTCGAATACACTCACGTACATACATACCAGCAGACAAACTTGCGGATCATATAGAGCAAGATGATATGTCTGCCAAGGACGCTAACTTGGAGCCCAAAAGACCCTTTTTTTTGAAGCGATTATTAAACAGTACTATAACACGCAGGTTTGTTCGGCCATCTTCTTATGGAATCAACACATCGATCAGGTGCGATCATGCTGTTATCATTTCACTAAACAGAATCCGCCAAGAGCTCCAGTGCGTTTGTGTGCGTGCGTGTGTTGTGTGAGTGCGTGTCTCTGAGGCGAGCGGTCAGGACAATCGTAATTTGCCACGCGCCACGCGGGATGAAGCGGCGTTCACCGTGTTTGGTTGAGCGAACGTCGCGCCACAATTACAATTTTGTTAGCAGCACTCCCGCTGGACGAGTGTCTTACGCATCCTCGTGGAAAAGAGGTCCTAATCTAGTATATCGCCACTGACAGCTTAAGCGATGAAAGTACAGATGTAAAAACTAAGCAGTTATCTATCAGGACCATGCTTTTTTTAATCGGATATAAATGAAACAACTGATAGAATATTCAACGATCCGAAGAACGAGAACATTAAATTGCTTCAGTATCTCTAAATCTACTCGTCACATAAAACAATTTACCTTGGTGCCTGCGTCGACGGCTTTCCGCCCATATTTCAAAATTCCACAGTGGTCGCAAAATGAGGTCTACAAAATATAGAGCTGTCCTTGTTAAGACGACTGTCGTGGTCTCACCACCTGTGAAAGAATTCCTTCTGCTATTCGACAAAAGAACAAGTGGCTGTACTGCAGGAGCTCCACAGGTTGCGACGAACGCTGCCACAACGACGTCCACCACTATCAGCTCATGTGATTGTTGTACGTATTTCGTAGCGTCGCGACAAAATGGATTGACATTTATGGGGAAGATGCGTCTGAAGGTACGCTTTGACTGAATCCACGAAAGGAGATTTAGCGTTTTGGAAGAAGATCAGATAGGTGCTGGCCGATTCTGATTCTCCCGTTGGCCGTGGCCCAGTTTCAGTTCATAAGTATTCTCCCCAAATGTTGAAGTAAGCAAGCGACAGCAATTGGTGGGAAATGGGCTGGCGCGTCAAATCAAGCCTCGTGACAACCCCTAGCATCCGCAACAAAAAAAAATCTGTACGTGACTTCTTCAATTGTAGTGTGTGGGAATTTTGCTCAACCTCTAGTTGGAGGACAGCGGTTCTAAAGCATCGGGAGGATTGAAAAACATGCCAGGGAATGCGAGTCTTCAATGGAAGGGGCTCCGGGCCGGCTGAGCTGCTCAAAGTGCGTGGCAATTGGATCGTGTGAGGTCGCAGAACGCCATGCAGATGAGGAGGTACAGAGAAAAACTGAACGCCGACGCGATCAAGGGGGCTGAGTTCGAGTGGGCGTGCACCACCCATAGAAGCTCGTTATAAACGCGTTCTGACATTCGTCGACCTTCCACGAACGCCGGGCGGACTGAGTCACTCTTTCAGAATGTACAGGAGGGAGGCCAAAAAAAGACAGTATTCTTCCTTGGCTTTCGAGGCACTATAAGTTCCACTTTCATTGAATCTGATCGCACATTTCTACCAATCCACCATATTGAAGAGCATATTAAATACTGTCACGATACTCCGCCGCAGCCTTTTGGACGAGCGCCATCAAGAGATTCTGCCACGCGATCGTGATTCGGTGCCTGCATTCAGCGAGGTCGTTGATTTCTGCAAAACTGTAGACCACCCTGCTGAGTTTCACTCGGACCCGCAACGAGGTTTAGGTCAGCGCAATCACTAGATATTCCCGTCTTCTTCAGAGTACTCAACGCCTTTCTATATTCGAGTAGGCGAGAGTTTTCCAACGCCTTTCGATTCATGTGGTGTCACCCAAATCCTGTAGCAGTACAAAGTTTCCAAGAAGATACGGGTGACGACTTGGGGAGGATATTCTATTCGAGTTGCTCGATATAACCGCCAGCGCTCACCTTCAGGTCGGGGTCCATGAAGAAAATATCGGTCTCTCCATTCCAGGTACTTCCGGTCCCTACCATCAACCGGCGCCTTGGCGACTGTGGTGAAGATGATGTCCTAGACCGTGGCGACGTTGTCGGAGCTGCTCGATGGAGGTCATCCAGATCGAGAGTACTGGTCTCCAGGTAGCTATCCATGGGTGACTCCATACTAGAAGTTTCGCAGCTGTTTGGAGGTGACATGAATTCCAAAGGTCTTCTCCAGTCAGGCTGCGACTGGAGATGACTTCATATTTTGGTGTACATGAAGGTGATGGGCGAGAGCCAGCTCCTGCTTATAGAGGAACATCTTGGGTATCTTCCGCCCTGGTACTCGTAACGCCCTCTGTCTGGGCTGCGAAAACGTTGCTGATATGTGACTCGGTCGAAGTGTCTTTTTTTTGCCCCCCCCCCTGTAATGTTCAGTCGCCTATTTCTCTCACTTCTTCGCACGGAATAAGGTCTATTCATCGCAGGAATTCTCGAATCGTTGTGAATGGTGCAAGGTATGAATATTTTCGACATGCAGTCAAAACATATTCACTTGCTAAAACTCTCACCTACACCTACAGCGCAATCTCGCTCGAAGGCAGAGATGGCGTTCACTTGAATGTTCCCACGATTTCTTTGGATACTGCTCTCTACAAGGATGGAGGATGCCCTCCCTGCAAGGATGGAGGATGTCTGATTCCGCAGCTCAGAAATACGAGAGGAAAGATTCCGCGTGAAGGGACTGCCGTCCCGCCCACTGACTGACGCAACGCCCAACTTCATTTCTAATGGCTTCTTAGTGGCTGCACTTGTTCTGCTACTAACTATCTCCATTCAAATGGTGAGAGTAAGGTGATGAGGAGAAAGAGTTAACACTAACAACCGTACCCTACCCTGTCTTGCCTTAAGCACGTACAACCTCGGTTCGGCATGGGATTCTATGTATACAGGGCACTTCTCATGATTTTTTTTTTTCTGCTTTTCTCTTCCCTAGCAAAGCTCGTCAACGGGCTTTGAGTGCGGGCTCAGTCTATAGGGTGTGTCAGAGGCTTGAGGGGCGTCAATATGAATATTCCGAATGCAACATATGTAAAATATAAGTAACGAAACACAACAAGAGAATGCAACAATCGAAAAGTCGGATCGGCATTCTGAAGTGTTGAGTCGCTGATAAGAGGGCAAAGTACAAAGTATTGGTGGTGAGAGGGTAAAAAACAATATGATGGCCTTGTTAGGTCTCGCTCGGGCATACAATGCATAAATAGGAACGGCCTGCCGAAGGAAATTCCTGGGATTATACTTGATTAAGATTCGCAGAGGAATTGCAATACTCATATTTGCTTTTCAGGGAAATGAGCGCCTGCTTTGCTGAACTAAAAACAAAAAAAAAAAAAACTAAAACTACTGAACTGAATCCATGTCACTGCATCTTCTCGAATAGGCACAGCTCCAGCAAATGGAACTGTAATGCGAGACTTCGCTGCAAGGATTCAGGAAGAGCGTGTCGCAGATAATCACGACATTGGGTGTCGTATGTAACCTGCCAAGAGCAACGTGTGTCCTGTATGTGTGTAACTGTCTGGGGAGTGAGGGGAAACAGTTCACGCCATTTTCCTCGACGTGATTCCTAACCATGCTTGGGTTGCGCTCAAATTTCAGACCGTACGATTGAATTACACCCTTACCACCAACGCTGCTGATCTGTTTTATGCTGATAAGGAGATTCTACGCACTAGCTCAAAGTCAGAAAGATGACTGAATCCAAAAAAAAAAGGGAACACGGGAAGACGTTTCGTTAGGACCGTATACAGGGGGGGGAGGCAAAAAAAAAGTCACTTCGACCGAGTCACATATCAGCAAAGTTTTTGCAGCCCAGAGAGAGATGTGGATACGAGTACCAGGGCGGAAGATACCCAAGATGTTCCTCGATAAGCAGGAGCCAGTGCCTCGCCCACCAAATATATGTATACACGCAAAATATGAGTCACTCTCACGTCCGCAGCCTGACTGAGAAGAACCTTTGAATTCATTGTCTCGACTCCAAACCACTTTCCTGCCGAAAACTTCTAGTATGGAGTCACCCATGGATAGCTACTTGGAGACCAGTACTCTCGATCTGGATGATCTCCAACATCGAGCAGCTCCGACAACGTCGCCACGGTCTAGGACATCATCTTCACCACAGTCGTCAAGGAGTGCGGGTTGATAGTATGGACCGGACGCACCTGGAATGGAAAGACCAATATTTTCTTCTTGGACCCCGGGCTGAAGCTGAGCGCTGGCGGTTACATCGACCAACTCAAGAAGAATATCTTCCCCACATGTCGTCGCCCGTACCTTCTTGGAAACTTTGTACTGCTACAGCATTGGGTGCCACCACGTGGAATCGAAGGGCGTTGGAGAAACTCTCGCCTACCTGGAATGGAAGGGGGCTGAGTACCTAAAGAAGATGGAATATCCAAGTAGGTCACCTGACCTGAATCCCCTCAATTACCCGGTTCGGGCGGAGTTCAATAGGGTGGTCGGAGAAATCGACTATCTCGCTGATCTCAGGCACCACATCGCGGTCGCGTGCCAGAATCTCTCGATGGCTCGTCCAGAAGGCTGTGGCGGAGTTTTATAATAGTATTTAATATGCTCTTTAATATGGTGGTAGAAATGTCCGATTAGAATTTATAAAGTGTAACTTATAGCGCCACGAAAGTCAATGAAGAAAAGTGACTTTTTTGGCTCCCCCTGTACATGACGCGCGCTGTGTACTGCACAACAACTTTCGATGGGCCATGCCCTATGTCAATTTGTTTACGGGTTTTCAGTCCCTTTTCAGTCCTTCAAGTGAGTCTTTCAGAGAACCTTTGGAAAATTTCTCCAAAGCGAAAGATATCAGCCATAAGTAAGGTTTCAGATGGGTATAGAGTTGGTCGCGCTTTTTTCAGTGTGATAGAGGTTATTCCTATGAGCAGTCAACGGGGAGGGATCGCTTGGCGAGACCAGGTTTCCGGGAACGTGCCATGACAAGCAATGGTGCGCGCTTAATGTTGGGTAACTCCTTCAAAACTTTAAGTTGTAAGGTTTTCATAACTAATGGCCTGAATGAAACCGCTCTTGGGTGCCCACTATCCTCGTGCAGTTTCAGTGATCACACATGTGAAGTTCCTGACGATTTGCCTCACCTAGCAGACGATTCGCCTGTCACGTTTCGACAGGTCTTTGGTAAGATGACTGAGCCAAACGGCATACACTCAGGCGCCGACGCGTCAAGGATATCACGGCGGCGGCGTCTTCCGGGTGTAACCACGTTAAGTTCGTGTTAGCGGTTCAGGACTAACAGGGTGCGACGTGTCTTGCGCTGTTGACTCGTGTTTAGCCACCCTAAAGAGCTGCCTGGTTTGGCATG